TTCACACAATGTATTTGTTACTTTTCTCATTGCTGAGACAAAATACCCAACACCCAAAGTTACAGGAAGAAAGGTTCACTTGGCTCACAGGTTTTTTGTTTATTTGTTTCTTCTTTTGAGACAGGATCTCACTATGTAGTCCAGGCTCACCTCAAACTCCCAGCAATCCTTCTGCCTCAGCCTCCTGAGTGCTGGGATTACAGGTGTGCACCACCATGCCCAGCTTGGTTCAAAGTTTGTGGACGTTTCAGTCCATAATCAGCTGGCTCCAAGGCAGGGTGGCACACTGCAGAGGGCAACTGTTCATGGCAGTGGAAAAGAGCAAAGCAACAAGGGAGCTTAACAGCAGCTTTCTGCCCCCTTTATCTTATCCAGACTGGGATTAGGGCAGTGCCAAACCAATCGGTGGACTGATTTAGTAATCTGCCATGCTTAATCTTAACCTAAAACCCTATGACTGCATGAGGATTTCGGGGGACATCGGGCACAAACCATAACATATAACATCACTTAATCACCCCCTTACCACCCCTTGCCACCCCTCCCCCACAGCGTGTGCTTTATGGGAGTCTCCATGCGCATAACATAGTTCAGTCATAGTCACGGCCCCTGTTACCCCTCCTTCGCACCCTGTCCTTTCCCTTCTTCCCTTCCTTTGCCTAATAGTCTCCCCGTCTCATTTGCTGCCATATGTTTTGATTCCACATATAGGGAGAACATGCAGCATTTGACTTTCCGAGTCTGACTTCTTTCCCTCAGCTTGGGGATCTTCAGATCCATCCATGTTTCTGCAAATGACAAGATTATGTTCTATTTTATGGCTGAATACTACTCCACTGTGTGTGTAAATACTACATTCTCTTTATCCTTTCATCATCTGCTGAGGAGCTCTTGCTGCTTCCATGTCCCGGCTATTGCATACGGTGTTACGGTAAATATGGGCTGCAGGTATCCCTATGAATGCTGACCTTAAAGCTTTCTGATATATAACAAGGAACACTGTAGCTGGATCAAATATAATAGCTCAGTTTTTAGTGAGGAATCTCCACACTGGTTTCCATAGAGGCTGTACTGATTTACATTCCCACCAACAGTGTCAAAATGTTCTTTCTGGCCCTGCGTGGGTTTTCTTCTAAACGTGGGTCCCACCCACTGCACGGCATCAGACCCAGCCACAGCAGCTGTGGTCCCACAGCAAGTGGCAGCTCGTGTGGAGTGGGTGGGAGGGGGCCAAGCCCCTCAGGCTTCACTTCCTAGAGCACTTCATTCCTCATAAATACTCTGAAGTTCTCAGGAGCATACAGGGCAGACTTCTAAAGGGTAGAAAACTCATCCCAAATCAGGTGCAATTTCAGAATTCTGAGTAAGCTACTGGGGTACCATTTCCAACCTGGCCAGTGACTGTGTTTCTTGGAGAAGAACTGCAGGGGGTGAGGAACCCCGGGTCATGGGTATGAGACCACGACCTCCAGCTGGGAGCCCACATTTCCCCACACACACTGAGCCTAGTCCTCAGCCCAAGGGTGGGGAGAAGCACCGAGCTGGTCGTCCCAGGCCAGTGTCTCCAGGAGCACAGTCCGACTGGCTGCCTCCTGGATGCCCTCGTTTCTGCCCAGACTTCATCTTTTCTGGGCCCCACCTCCTCAGAGTGCTGCCCTTCACCACACCACTCCCATTTTTCTCCTATTACTAAAATGTAGGGGTAAAAAGTGCCTGCAGCACAGGATGGTAACAACTGAAAACTGAAGATCCACCATCACCGCCCCGCATTCCCATGTGTTCTCTGCCCCTGTGTCTGGGCAAGGGTCTTACCTTGGGCACCAACTCTGCCTCCCACCTCCCCTGACCCTCTTTCTGTGTGTCCCAGCCCCTCACCTCCCAGCCCCCAATTTCCTAATTCCTCTCCCTGCTTTTTAAAGAATCCTTAGTCTGTCTTCGGTTGGTATTCTGTAACAAAATACCCAGAACTAAAGAAGAGAAGTTCAGGTGGCTCCCCAGTCCACCAACTGTGATGTCCGTGAGCACCGTCCCAGCCATGCTCAGCGTCCGGTGAGGGCTGTGCTGCTGCATCAGAACATGGCGGAGGGCGTCACACGGACATGGTGACACAGGAAACACGGCAGCCCACGCTGCTGTCCTTCCTTAGAAGCCACCAATACCACCAGGTCCCCACCCTCACGACCTCATCTAATCTTAATGCTCTTCCAAAGGCTCTGCCTTCAAATACCATTAATGTGTGGATTTTGGTGTTAACTTTCCAAAACAATCAGAGCACAACCAGATCCTCCGACACCCCAAACTCTGCTTCTATCCTGTGATTGTATCCAAACGCTCACTGAAATTTTTTATTCGGAAAAGAAGCTGCATGCTTAGGTCTCCAACTCTCAGCGCCCTAAAACACTTGAACAGCTTTGAAATCCATTTTTCCCTTTAAATGATCAAACTACTGGGGAGGGTTTCTTCCACTGAACAGTAGTTCACTGCCTGAAACAGGATGAGGGTTGTTATTATATGTTCAAACTTTAGAATCCTGCTCTTCAAATTTAAGTCAGATGATCTTAGAATCATGTTTCCGTCAGTGTTTCTCCCTGCTGATGAAATTTCACTCCTTTATTCGCCCAAACTATCTCTAGTTATGGCATATTTGTCCCTTCCAACAGAATGCTCCAGGTGACCCAGCTTTCCCTCACTAAAACAAATACCAGAGATAACCAACTTATAAATAAAAAAGGTTTACTTTGGCTCATATTTTTGGAAATTTCAGTCTGTGGTCAGTTGGCCCCGCTGCCTTTGGTGAGAGTTGGGGGTGGGGCTTGCTCACTTTATGGCCAGAAAGCAAAAGAGAAGAGTACGGCAGGGGCAGGGCTCTTAGAACTCCCTCAAGGTCAGCCCCTGCGGCCAGCAGGCCTCCCACTCCTCACCTCTTAAAAGTTTCCTCTGCCCCCCAATAGCAACAAGCTGGGGACAAGCTTCTAGCACATGGGCCTTTGGCGGATGTGTAAGATCCAAACTCTGCATGTTGGCAATCTCTCGGGCAATTTTTGTTTGTTTGTTTCCGGTACCGGGAATGAAACTCATGACCTTGTGCTTGCCAGGAAGGTGCTGTGCCGCTGAGCTAAATCCCCAGCCCCTCTTGGGCAATTTTTGTAATTTTTTTATTTACGTTCTGTACAGAGCATCCCTAAACATAATCATTTCCAGGTGGAGATGTTGATTATGCAGGAATAATCAGTAACAGCTATTGCCATGTTGAAATGTTTAATAATTTTATCTAGACCTTGTGTTTTATAAAGGAGGTCCCTCAGAACAAGGGAACATGTGCCTGAATTGGGGAACTACGGGCCACACAGAAGTCCACTGCCATTCCCACAGGGCTCACAACTTGCTGTGAGCATGGAGCTCCCTGTGGACCCAAGGGTGGGGGACCAGCAACACCCAGGGCGAGCAGAAGGTCAGCTTGCTCTGTCCACAACGGAGCCAGTGGGCGTTGGCAGCCCGGGAGGGGCCACGCTTGCCCCTAGAACTTGAACTTGCTTTAAATGCAGGGAGAAGCCAGCCCAGTTTCAGGAAACAGCGCATCCTTTCTCACGACACGGTTTCTTTTTCTTTTCGATTCAAGTCTAAGGTGCGGAGCACTGGTAGAACATGTGCATACAAAGAAGTGCAATAAAACCAGCTGAGCTCACTTTCCAGCATTTCCATAGTTCTGATAAAAAGAAAATACGTATTCATGGGCAAGGTGTGAAATGGAAACTAGGGACTTTCTGTGCCTCCGCATGAGTTAAATGCCTTATAGATGTATTTAAAACTGGCCTTGCACAATGTAAAGACGAATGGTAAAATTCATACATAACAATTTAAATTTTTAATTTTTCTTTACTCAGGATAATATTAAGTAACTTTTATTACAGGTTGGGGGAAAACAGAAGTCCTTTGTCTCGTTCCTGGGGATTGAACTCAGGGCCTTCCCACTGAACTACATCCCGTCTCCCTTTCACGTTTAATTCGAGACTGGGTCTCGCTAAATCACTAAATAGAGGCACTAGGCTGGAACGTGTAATCCTTCTGCCTCAGCCTCCTGGAGTGTTGCGGGACGACAGGAGTGCGCTACCACGCCTGGCTATTTTATTACCTGTAGTGGCACTTTCTACAGATTTTTTTTAACAAAGGGCCCTGCGTTTTACATGTACTGTGCGTCCCACCGATTACAGAGCCAGCTATGCAGCTGGCAGGAATCAAAGCCTCCTTCCTGGTGAGGGGCGGTAAAACAGGTACGTGAGTAAATTATACACGCTGTAGCCCACCCTGGAGCAGGCTGGAGAGGATATGGGGGCTCGATCCTGCAAGCGCGGAGCCCTCGGATTTTAGGGGTTTGAGCAGAAGAGTAACGAAGATCTGATTTATGTTTCGGACAAAGGTCAGTTTGGCTGCCGTGCGGACAGGTCTGCAAGGGGGAGCAGTCAGCCTGGCCAGCAGCTGCGGGCCTCCCCCGGGGCGTGCGGTGTGAGCGAGAGCCCGGGCGCGGAGGACGGCGCCGGAGATGCGGGCCGGAGGCAGGCGCGGGGGGCTCAGCAGTCAGTTTAGAGCCCCGTCCGCAGGCGCGGCAGGATCCGGGTGGACACGCCAGGGGGCCGCTGGGCGCGCAGGTCCGGAGCCCGGGGCCGCGGAGCAGCTGCTCCCTGCGGGGCGCGGCGCAGGGCCTGCGGGGGAGGGGCGCTCGCCGTAACAGATCCCTCATGCCTCAAACAAACGTCTCACTCTGCCTCCACAGCAAGTTTTAGCACCGAGAACGTATTCTCCTCCCACGTCAGGTGTAAGCGGCACCCTCGTGCGAGCCCCAAACTGAGCCAATCCCGTCCGTCCCCGCTGTGCCTCACGCCGGAAGCCGGCGTGTCCTCCAGAGCAGCGAGAGCGCAGGGCAGAGGAGCAACGCCCCTTCCGGCCCCGGTGACGCCTGCGGACGCGCCAGAGCCGGTGGTGCGCCTGCGCGGCGGCGCTCGCCGGCGAGGCTGGCTTTACGTCATCGCGGGCGCGACGCCCCGAGGAACAGTCTGGAGTGTGGCGGTCGGGAAGGTGCGGCGGTGAGACCGGCCGGGAAGATGCCAGTGGCGGTGATGGCGGAAAGTACCTTCAGTTTTAGGAAGTTGCTGGATCAGTGCGAGAACCAGGAGCTCGAGGTACCCGTTTGCGTCGCGCCGGGAGGAGCTTGGCGGCGCCCCCGGCCCCCGGCAGCTCCGGTTTCTGGGGTAACGGAGCCCGCGGGCTTGGAGCGCCGGTGGAGCGGGAGCTGGAGCTGGGGAGCCGGCCGCCGTGGCCGGCCCCGACCGGAAGGGGTCTCGGCCGGTCGTCCCGAGCTCGCCGGAGGTTTCTGTTGGTTTTATTTGTGAGCCCGGCGTCCCTGTGCGTCTTCACTCCGGCACCTACCGGTGTGCTTCTGCATTCAGCAGGCTTGGCGCGTGCCCCCCGGTGTCCGGGCCGGAGCCGGACGCCCCTTCCCCCGCACGGGACGGGAAAGAACCCTTTTTGGCTCAGAAAACCCTTGTTGGTCTCGTCCTGTTACGAGCTTGGCATTTTGTGTGCAGTAAGATAGCCGGAAAGGTCTGCCAGGCAGCAGTGAACGTTTCTTGGCCACTTAAACAATTACAAGGTTAGTGTAGCGGGAGCAGACAGCGGCGAGAAGCAGCAGCTCGCCAGCAGACACTTCAGCTGTTCCCTAAGTGAGTTCAGACTGCGCAAGGAGAGAGAGATCTTCGCTGTTCAGCCGCGGTGTTTCCCCGTTACTTACGTAGATCTTTAGCAGGTTTGGTAGCGTAGGCAGAATCCTGTTTTAGTAATCTGTTGAGAGTTTGTTTCCTAAAATAGTAAAATTGCATGAGTACAAATCTGAGAACTGGGGAAGGGACTTCAGATATTCTTGTACATGTAGTGAAATTCAGGGGGAAGAGAAATTCACAGCTGAGGACAGATCTAAATTCAGTACTCTGGGTTTTAGCGCTTGGAGTTTCTCTGAGCTGTGGTTATAGCTGAAATACTGTATAAGATGGGCTTGCTTTTTAAATTGTTGTTAATAACGTGCTGTTTCAGTAAAAGAAAAAGTGTCAGTGGGTTTTTCTCTTACTGTTGGCCTCCCAGGCTCCTGGAGGAATCGCCACACCCCCAGTGTATGGTCAGCTTCTAGCGTTATATTTGCTCCACAATGACATGTGAGTACCATTCTACCTAAAGCTCCAAGCAGCGGCTTCTCAGAGTTACACAGAAATCATTGTAATGTGAAGCAGATCGCAAAGCATAGGCTCGATGAGTTGTTTTTTATTGTGATACCTGTTTTATCTACTTCCTGTTAAATGAAAATGCATTACGATGATACTGTTACTTTAAAATATATTTGTTTTACATACGCTTCCTTTAAGAATTTTAGTTTGACATGACAGACTAGAGTATCAGTATTTTTAAATCTGCTTATCATCTCACTTATAATCAGTAGATGAAAAGATGAAAGGAAAAATTGAGAAAGCCATGACAGATTTACTACCAACATGTATGAGATTTCTTGTAAGTTTTTTCCTAGTCATGTTCCCTAGGAAAAGTCAGGAAACAACTGTGTTAAAGGCGTCTCCTACAGGTCTAGGACCTATCAAGGATTTCTGATACAATTTTGTTTTACATTCTTACAAATTCTTTTTGATATCTTTTTAATAGCTACACAGATTTTAATTATGCATGTATCGTAAATTGTTTCATTTTTTGTAATCCCATTATCACATGTTTGTTCCAGTCTCCTAGAAACTATAGTGTTGAAAGTTTTAAGGGCTCTGTACTTCCTGGGAGGAAAGATCTGTCAAAAGGTGGAATCAAAATATATAGTGAATGTTTACATTTACAAATTTATTACAGTAAAAGACATTGCCGTTTATCTCCTTCATTCTTGTCCCTTTCTGCCTAGTTCTGGAAAGCCTTTTTCAGGAGTAGGTTTACCAAGTTTTGTTAAAAATACGATGGCTGCTGCCTGCTGCCATCCAGTGGGAAGGCAGCTTGTAGAAGCACTGTGGCGCCCCTCACCCACCTTGCCGGATCTGGCACCACGCAGCTTCTGCCTCCTCCCGCAAATCAAAGTGACCGTGAAAGAGAAACATTTTGAATTGATTCACGACATCAAGGCAGCAGGGACTGCACAGCTACAGGAGCTCACGGAAGATGACTCCTTACCAGCTTCAAAAAGTGGCAAAAGTGATGGAATCAGTGTGTCTAGTGCAAGGGGGAGGATTTTGACAGCAGAATCAATGACAGTGGGTCTTTGTCTGTCGTATTTTTTAATGTAACCATTCACTGTATCACATCTCATCAGGAAATACTAGAGCTTTCTAAACACATACATTTGTTTTATGTGTCTGAGTAAATTCTGTGGGCAATTCTGTGTAAGTCTGTGTTTAACGTATTATTTCCTTAGTTTGGGATCTGAATCATTACTTTTAAGAATTCAGTAAAAATGGCAGAATGACTTTGATAAATATATTCCATGTCTTTTTATCTGGAAAACTACTTGAATTTTCCCAGAATAAACTCAGATAAAACTAACTTTTATTCTGTATCATTAATTGTATTTCATAGTTTACTTCTACGTGTTTGCATTGGGACCTAGTAATTTTAACTATTCACTGACATTATTTTCTAATTGATTGTTCTTTATATAAATTAGGAATAACGCAAGATATCTTTGGAAAAGGATACCCCCTGCTATAAAATCTGTAAGTATTCTTTCAATACATTTTTTGCTTTAATATAGTAGTAATAGTCACTAACACGGCAGCTCTCGAACATACCTGTTCTCTGTGTTAAAGAAATCGTCATTAAACTAGCATTTACATCTTTAGATTTTTATAACCAGAAGTTTAAATTTCCGTGGGATGGTACAGAAATGGATGCCTACCTCTTCCTGGTCAGATTCCCTGAGACGTGTCTTAGAGGCATGGCTCTACCAGATACCAGCTGAGCCAGTTTAAATGTAGGAGAGGGGAGTTACAGACATTTTCAACTGATTATGCAGTTTCCTACAATGGTGCTGTCTTAGTTACTTTTCTGTCATTGCTGAGACAAAATATCTGACATCCAGAATTAAGGAGGGAAAGGTTTATTCAGCTCACAGTTTGTGGAGGTTTTCAGTCCATACTGGGCTGGCTCCAAGGCAGGGTGGCACATGGCAGAGGACACGAGTTCATGGCATTGGAAGACAGCAAAGCAACAAGAGCAAAAGGGAGGCGCGGCAGCAGGGAGAGCAAGCCTCCTTCCCTCCCTTATATTGTATGCAGGCTGCCTGCCCCAGGGCGGGAGTAGCACTCACACCCGTAACCCCAGCATTGGACCATGGATCAATCACAAACTCTAGAAGCTGCCCCATGACTGCATGAGGCTTTGTGGAGACATCTAGACACAAACCATGACAGGTACTTATTTTGAAACTGGTAATGTTCATAAGATATTCTTTAAGTGAGTATTCACAGCATTAAGATAATTTTGCTAATTAGAATCTTAGATTTTTTCATTTTGAATGGAAGATTAGGTGCAATAAGTTGTGAAAAGTTTCTTTGACAGCAGAGTAAAGTGCGTGTTTAATTTCCAGTGATAACCTCTTCTTTCCTTGATACTGGGTTTAGTGAGGTGAGGGTATTCTTCACCGTACTTGGTTGATGAAGAAGAGTGATAGCCAAGTGCAGTGGCACACAGCTATCATCCCAGCCACTTGGGAGGCCGAGGCACAAGGATCACAAGTTTGAGGCCAGCCAGGGCTACTCAGACCCTCTCTCAAAATAAGGTCTGAGGTTATACTCAGACCTGGGTGCATTCCCCCAGAATGGCCAAAGAAACAAAAACAGAACAAACCATCTACTTAGAGAGGCTATAGCGTATGACATCTTAGATTGCCTGTAGGTTAATCAGTTTGTTTTTTGTCCTAGGTACACATACTGACTATATGTGAGAAAAATAAATGCAGTATCTTTAGAAACAACAGTGACTAAGACAGCCAGCCCCCAGCTTAATTCTGAAATATTTGTAAACTAATTTCTCATGCTTTGTTATTGTAATAAAAATGTGTGTCAGATGTACAGATATTTTATATTACTGCTTGCAGCATGAAAACATTTTGATAATAGATGAAGTAGTTGCATCTCTTAACAGAAATACTGAATTATCCCCTTAACAATACAGCTAACAAGTTTTATTGTATCATATGTGGTATTTTGTTTTGACATGGCGTCATTGGTAAATTGCAGAATGGGTACCTTCAAAGGCAATAATATTTATTGCAGGCAAATTCTGAACTTGGAGGAATTTGGTCAGTAGGACAGAGAATCTGGCAGAGAGATTTCCCTGGGATCTATACGACCATCAACTCCCACCAGTGGTCTGAGACGGTGCAGCCAATCATGGAAGCGCTCAGAGGTAGTGTTCCTGTGTGGTCAAGGCTTCCATTGGGCTAGCCCTGTTTCCTAAGTGCTGAAATGTTAACTAATTCTGTGTGATTTTTAACACATTCCTGCTGGCTTGCACTACTGGAGTTACATGCATGACTGTCCCATGCCACCCAGTGGTCCAGTTAGAAATTTAGAAAATTGAAGGTGACAAAACTAAAGAGAGGCTGGAGAAAGAACTGTTTTCACAGGACACTAGCATAGGCTGGGGCTGTAGCCATTCTCCCCCAGGGCCTGCACCCGCAGACAAGGGCCTGGTGTGAGTGGGGCGCTGGTGAGCGGCGGCTGCCTACAGCAACTGTGGGACCAGGCCAGCTGGAGCGAGGCAGGAGGGGTTGGGAGGGTGAGTGTCCTGACCTTTGCCCCTAGCCACTGACCTCCCAGTGGAGCTCACCCGCCAGGCAAAGGAGCTGCGGTGCTGTAGCCATTGGCGCACGCGCACACACACATACTCACATATACGTACATCACAGCGTAGTAGGCAGAGGTGGCTTGGGCATGGTGGGGCACTGCCCAGCTCTTCCTCCTCCTGCCTCCGGCACTGCCAGCGAGCGTTCTCAGTGATGAAGAGGCACTGAAGTATTTGTGAGCAGCAGAGTCAGCCTTCTGCCAGGGGCTCTGATCCAACTGAGAACTGTTCCAGGTTAGACTGGCACCCGATGTCAGGTACCTGCTGCGTTAGCGCACCTTCTGCCATGGGCTGGGAACGCGTGCCTCCCTGAGATCAGACTACACAGCCTGAGGGTCTCAAAGTGGCCAGTCACTTGTACCCAGTGGTTAAAAGCAGCTTGAGTGCGGAAGCGCTTGCTGTGTTGGGAGCCCTGGGCTTCGTTCTTGCCACCTTTGCCAGCCTGCCTCTGCCTCCCTGTGTGTTCTGTTTTTCAGTCCTAACACTTTCTGCTTCTCTGTGGCCCTTCTGGATTTCTCAGGCCTTCACTTTCTATTCTGTTCTGCACTCTAGAAACCCAACCAGCATATTTGAACTAAAGTAAGTGTGTTTACTATCGCAGGCTTGCCAGCCAAGCGTAGCTTATGATGGGCACTTCTGTCCTTCTTCAGCGCCTCTCCTTGGACTGTAGCCTTGCAGGATGTCTGTGGGATGCTTTAGGGTCTGTATAGCTAGGTTGGAAGGAAGAGCAGACAGTCATGGCTCGCTGAGACCTGGAGGGTACCAGGCTTAGCAGGAAGTGAGGCGAGTGTAAGTGTCTGTGGTTATGGAATATTAGAAAACAAAGCTAAAGACCAGGTTCATGCACCATTTTGGTGGTTCAGTACCATCAGCGAGGTTGTCCTCTGCACACGCCTCACCAGAGACGTATGCCACAGGTGCAGAAAGATGGCTCGTCACATTCTGAGTGTAAACGGTGATGCCATGAATTTAGAGCAGGCAGAGCTGGTCATGGATTTGGTGCTATGGGGAGTTGATAAGCAGACCCAGGAATGTTAGTAAAGACGAGAGGTGGCAAGTGTGGAACCGTGTAAACCACAAGCCCTGAGTGCGAAGGGGTGAGACTGCATGTGTAACCTTGCCTATTGCTATGGAAAGTAAATCCAGGATATTTCCAAAGCTCGTTAGCAGCCGGGTGGAGAAGCCTTACATTCCAGAAGTGCACCACACCGGAAGAAGGCTGGCAGGCTCCAGGGGAGCTCTCATCTGTCTCATCCCTGAACTTACTTCATGTAGCTATGTAAGCTCCCAAACGCCTTTTCTAGGGAAGAGTTTTTGTGGCTGGTGGCTGGCAGCCTCTTTCTGGAATTGACCATTCGGGGTTGGAATTTTGGATTTTGAGCCTGAAAGAAGGTGAGAGTTTGATGCAGGCTTGGGAAGTTAGGAAGGGTGCTCTGGTTTTGAGTTTGTTCTGCAGCTCCTAGGTGTGATCCTGCAGTGGATACCTTTCTGAGGAGAAGTAGGCTTTCTAATCCATCCATCCCTGTGTTTGCAAGTGAAAGACAAAACTGAAAGAAAAGCTATATCCCAAATGCATCAGTATGTTTATATCATTGAACTTTCTGTTGCTGGGACAAAATACTTGATATGTGCAACTTAAAGGAGGAAATATTTATTTTGGCTGACAGTTTGAAAGGGTTTAGTCCATGGGTAGCTGGCTCCAAGGCAGAAACATGGTGGAAGGGCCTCATGGCTGCCCACCTCATGGCAGCCAGGACATAGACCACAGAAGAGGCAGAGTAAAGGCCAGGGCCCAGGTTGAGGCAGTCCCCAAGGTCACACCCCTGTGACCATCCAGCGACACCCAGAAGTGTGCTTTACTGACCTCCCAGGTATCTCTCAAGCCAGTCAGGTTGACAGTCAAGATTAACCAGCACCATATTTAAATTAAATTTTCTTAGGGTTGGAGTCTTGCATATATTAATTGCTTCCTGTCCTTGTAACCTTGGTTGCTCTCTGATCTCGGGAAATGTGTACGTGTATTTCTCTTTTGTTAGCAATATTTGAGCCTCTGAATATGCTGGGCGTGTACATGTCTGCTGTAAGCACAGATGTCTTTGAGCTGATCCAGTCTCATGAAGGAGTGTAGTATAACTGTGTTCTTAACGTGCCTGCTGTGTTGTTCCACAAAAGATGCGACAAGGCGACGCGCCTTCGCCCTGGTCTCTCAAGCGTACACCTCCATCATCGCCGATGACTTTGCGGCCTTTGTTGGACTTCCTGTAGAAGAGGCTGTGAAAGGTACTTCCGACTTACTTTTTACTCACAAGGAATCAAAAGACAGGTGCACATGACAGGTCACAGTGCCTTCTCTGGAGCGCTCCTAACTGGATGTTCAGGAATTGAGGTTGGGTTTGCTTTTCGGGAAGGTGACATGCAGCATTGCATGGCATCCCCAGGGGTTTTAGACAGCAGCAGGCACCTCCTGACCCAGCACGTGAGTGGTTCTGCAGCAGGCAGATACATGATGTCTGCTCCGCTGGTTGGCAGAGTACGCCTTCATCGGCCTCGCCACTCACGTTCACAGGCCTTACTTCACCTTCCTGGGTAAGGCGCGCACGTCCCTGTTCAGCCCCATTTTTCCTCACACCCCAGGGGTCTGTGCCGCCCCGCCCCCGTCTAGAGTATCACTTACCGGTTGCATTGTGCTGGGATGACCCACATTTTGATTCTCAAACTAAAATATGAGCTCTACCATGCCCCATGGCCTGTTCGTCAACCTCTAGGTCCTCACAATTTTAGACCCATAAGAGAACAGGGTGATTGAAGTTTTCTTTTGGTGGGCTGTAGGGGATGGAACCGAAGGCCTGGTGCCTGCCAAGGGTTTGCTCTGCCACTGAGCTGCAACCCCAGCCCTGAAATTCTTGTATGAACAAGAATCATACAAGAATCGTACTGTTACTCTGACATTTGCTTTGCCTCTTCTCTTAAGGTCGGTCCTCACTCTGTTTCTCACGTATACCCCAGAGCCCGTGTTCTTAGCAGACCAGCGTGAGTCCTGGTCACACGGCTGATCCTCCACGCTAGCCATGTGACCTGGGAAACACCACTGGAATTCCCAAAACTTGATTTTTCCACAACAGTTAAATGAAAAGTGTATGCTCCACTTCATAGGGTTGTGATGATTACATGAAAGGATCTCCATAAAAATACCCATCATCTTTGTTAGTGCTCATGTAATTATTAAAGGTGTCATACACATTTTCCTTATGTCTGGTTTAATAAACTGATTTGTTTAATGCTTTGTGGAAAACTTACCCCTGTTAGTGAGCCTGACAGAGTGCAGTAAAGCTTTGATACTATGTTCAGGAGTATTTCAAAAATGAGCTTACGTGTTTTCTATCACATATTCAAATGCTGTCCATGTTCTTTTCTAGTAGAAATTTCCATGACAGGTTGAACTAAACCTGTCGTGTCTCCTGGGTAAGTAATTTTGTGGACAGATGGTGGAGCGCATTTGTTTACCTGATTTCCTCACTGTTCCCTGAAATCCACATTTCTAGGTATCTTAGAACAAGGATGGCAAGCGGACTCCACCACGAGAATGGTTCTACCCAGAAAGCCAGGTAGGGGGCGCTGTGTATCCATTTCTGTAGCACCAACTGCTTCAGGTTTTCAGGCCTTGCTTTTGAATAATTTGTTACTATACTAACACAGTGGAAGTGACTCACATTTTAAATACGCAGAATGTGGACACTTAGGGCAGAAATGCAAGACTCCAGTATGTTTGTGTTTCATGGTCCTTATTCTCAGTTTTTGCTAAGTGTTAATTGATCATTTTATTTATGGAGCCATTTCTTCTTAAGATCTAAACTATTGGCCTTTAAAGATTAAAGACTCAGCTATCCCTTGTCCATGAGTCATGCAGACACTTCCTGTGACTCACTTTCACAGGATTAACTGCTCTTGCCGTCGTTGAAGGCCTTAAGCCTGGGACTTGTCCCTGTTTCGATTCAAATTCCTAGCCCCTCTGTGTTTTGGGTTTTGAGGGGATTTTGTTGTTATTGTGGTTGTTGGAGATGTCTCACTCTGTAGGTCAGGGTACCCTAGAACTCAGAATCCTCCTGTCCCAGCCTCCTGGGGGCTGGGATCATAAGCACGTGACTGAGCCCCTGTCTTGCTCACATAAGTGAGCCACTCCTTGCTGCTTGCCGTTTCCTGTGCCTCCTGCTTGCCGTGCATTGCCTTCCTGTCGGGTCTTCAGTGCCCCCAGTGACCATGCATACGGTGCCCACGCCCACAAACCCTTGTGTATCTGTCCAGTGTGCACCACCTCCCCTGAGTGCTGCTGCTGTGCTCGGCCCTGTGGGGGTGCACGAGGTAGCAGGATGCGCCCCGGCCACGCTACTGCCGAGAGAAGACTGCTGATGACGCAGGAGATACGAGAATAAACGGCTGGAAAGGGCTGTCACAGTGAAAACACTGTGTTCTGTGAAAGGTCTTGCAAAGGCAGATGTAAATTATGCTTTTCTTTTAGTTGCAGGGGCCCTGGATGTTTCCTTTAACAGAATTAATCCCTTATCAGGTATATATTTTCATTTTTTAAATGTCCCATTGTTCTAATTTCCTTTCTGTAATGTGTATGTGAGAAGTTTATAGTAATATGTCCAGTTACAAGACTGGAACTGTGGGCTGCCCCGTAGCTCACCTGAGGGCAGCACCCTCCAGCACCTGCGTGCCATCTCGTGGGCCCCGCCAGAGCTTGACCCCTTCTGAGAGCAGGCTGCATCCCGAGGCTGGCGTGGTAACTGCACACTAGAGTGTGGCTCCTGAGGGTGCGTTCTTGGGGGGTTCTCGCTGAGTGCAGCCATCTCCGAGAGGGAGCCAACACGGGGGCCACTCGAGTTCTGCGGGTTAAATGTCCCACGGGTAGGGGCTTTTCCAAGATTGTCTCCTAAAAGAGACTTTCCTGCTCAGTGTGTTTTGAACTTTCTTGTAGGGTACTTCCACGACGGTGTCAGGTGGGTTTTATGTGCAGTTAGGGAAAACCATGCTCCTAAAAGTGGAGTTCGTTTGTTTCAGAAATTCCCGAGAGACGTGAAATTGTCTTAAATTCAGGTAGATCTGAGATATGACCTTGTTCAAATTAAAGGCGTTAATTTGAGGTGGGTGGCAGGACCAAAGCTTTGCGTGGTGGAGTCTAACTTGAAGTTCGCTGTCTAACCCACAGAGCCTGCCCCAGTTCCGCCGATCCCCAATGAGCAGCAGTTAGCTAGGCTGACCGATTATGTGGCTTTCCTTGAAAACTGACTGATCGTCGACTTCAAGACCACCTCCAGAATCCTCTACACTGACAAATAGAGAAATGTAAAATTTTTATTTTCAACTTACTGGATGGATGAAGCACCTCAGCATTCCTTACGGAATATGTGATAAAATGCATATATAATATAAAGTATATTATATATATTTTGTCCTTAAGCATTATGCCGAATAGTTGAGGCAGTTCTCATTTTGTAATAGGTAACAATTTGGCACTGTCAGTATCATGCCGGTAGTTTACATTCCCTAGTGAATTAGGCATAAGCCCTCCTGCCCCAGTGCGCTGCGTTCCCATGCGTGCCCGAGTGGGCAGTGGTGGTGCTGCCTCTGGGGCTGGCCGAGGACTGTCCCAGGGAAGGACTTGAATTGCATGAGTGTGATCCACCCTTGGGAGAATAGGCTTTCTTTTATCCCTGCCTCCCCAGAATCGCTAAGGTAGAATACTGAAACGTAGCTGAGGAACAAATGGACATTTCCGGAGTGAACCAGTTTGTTACAGTCTTTCCCAATAGTATGAGTATATCCATTGCTAGCAGAGGAGGGCTTGCTGTGACAGTGCCACTTAGGGTGTTCATGAGAAGTATTAAGTTCTAACGTCTGTTTTCAGAGGAAGGGGCAGGTTAAGTGTGGAGCGCATGGTGTGGGGAAAGGAGCTGTTAAGAGGAGTGATGCACTTGCACAGCTCTGCTGCAGCCTGTTGGTTGCCTGTTTGTTTAAAGTTCTGCCCTTGGAAGAAATGCCGAACAAGTCTTTATTCTTTGTGTGACAGCCCCTGAATGTTTGAAGTTACTGTATTTTTAGATTAAGATACCCCTTAGATCATTTATTCTGCATTTGTTCAATAAATATTTAATTGAATTTTTGAACTGTCATCTGAGGTGGTTTCTAGGTATTTTGCTGTCTTGGTGTTTCTGTGGATACCTTCTAGTTTGTCTTGCCTCTCAGAATAAGAATTTCTTAATCAGGTAGAAATGATCTCTATCAGTCTGGGCAGTGATACATAATTTATGTTTTCATTCATTTTACTAATGAAGTTTATTTCATTCATTTTTTAAACATATATGGAAATACCTTTTCAGTTTCATTTAACTGATAAGTAAAATTGTGTAAATTTACTTTACAAATGAAGAAATGAGAATTTAAGTAGCCAGAGGGTCAATAGCAAGAGGGGTGATGGCGATTTTTAACCTCCCATTATAAGAACAAATGAATGCCTGGCAGGTTGGGATCAGCCCGGATGTTCAGCGAGCGGACTGTGTGAACAAACTGTCGCGTGCTCCGTGACTGTCAAAGGGGTGAAGACCTCTGGGTGTTGACGTGGAGTGACCTGAGTGAAGACAGAAGCTATGGGGCGCTTACGTAGTGACGTAGGGACAGGAGCATGACTGCGGTTGCGGATGCACACACGTCTGCCTCGCTCAGAAAGCGACAGTTGCAGGATAAACCAAAGACAACAGCAGTTCTCTCGAGAGGAAGACTGAACAGCCAGAGAAGAAGGCCGTGTGGACTGCTGAATATGATTTTGCAGTTAATTTCACAAAGTGATCTTGCATCATCAAAAGTGTGTGCTAGAATAAAGTTAGTGATTATGTACCATCTTTAGAAGTGAGTAATCTTAAATTTGACCTTGACTTTATATGATTTATTTTCTTTGTAAATAGTACATATTTCTTATTGCTATCTAACTGCAAACATCTAATTATAAGTCAGAAATAGCAAGTACCACTAGTGCTAAATTCCATTTTTTGATAAAAGGAATAAGAAATTATTTGCACAATAGTGCATACTTGGTCCAGGGCAATAAATCAAGGTGCTGTAGTCCCTGATGTTGCAGATCAAGGAAGTTTCAAAGACTCAGGCTTCTATCAAAAGGCTGTAGAGAAGCCAGCTTGGGTTCTCACTGGCCAAAAATGTGACAGTTTGAACACGAAAAGTTACATGAGTTTACCTTTCTAACTACACCAAGGTAACCTCCCTCGTCACTGTACAAGAAGGGAGGATAAGTGCTTCATTTCACTTCCTGACCTATTCTCAATCTTCAGAATAACAGATTGACAAACCAGCAATCTCCAGAGCAACAGAATGAACCTGAATGGTGATCAAATGGCTAATCATGGAAAATTCTTTATGGAAGAATTCCACCCAATAAGGTGAAAAATAGCATTTTGCAGCCCACCTAGGGAACAAGCTCCAAAACTGTGGAGACAAAATGGGACTGAACATAAAACGGGTCCAGCATAACAGCATGACTCCATCAGCTGCTCTTGTGTCCTGGCCGTTCCTGAAGCAAGCAGCTGCCCACCAGCCTGCACCCTGCTGCAGGTCCATTGTGTTATGCAGAGATACTTGTTTGACCCCGGGGCAGTGGGGGTTGTCACCCCAAATAAATTTCATTAGTAAAATGAATGAAAACATAAATTATGTATCACTGCCCAGACTGATAGAGATCATTTCTACTTATCCTCCCTTCTTGTACAGGGTTGTGGCAATGCCCTCCCCTAGCAGCCCAGGTTCTGGTCAGCTGTAAAAACCCACGTCCAAGGTGGGGGAGCCCCCTTTGAGAGGGTTGGGCCCTTCCTGTTCTGTCTGAGGGGTGATGGAGAAGGTGGTACCTACGTGAATTTTCCGCTGGGTTGAAGTACTTCGGAGGCTCACAGTTGTGCCAAGAGCTATGGAAAGTGGACCCTTACAATAAGCCGTAAAGCAGTAAGGAGTAGAGAAGCTGAACTGAGAAGAGGAGAGAACTACAGAAAGATCCCTGACGGCAGCCTTTTCTGGGAGCGCTTGCTGGTTCTGCCTGGGCAGCGTTCCGTGCTGTAGAATCTCGCAGCCTGTGGGGTTCGGGCACCTTCAGGGGGTGGGACAATGTGAACAGGAACTTGACAGCAGAACTGCTGCTGTTTGTCCTTCAGGATACCTGGTGAACTTGTAAGCAGCTTCAGGTAGGAGATTAGAACTCCAGAGCCTTTGAGAAACGTCCTGGTTTTCCTCCCATGGTGTTGTACCCAGGGCTCCTTTAAACACCGAAAGTGAAAGTTGTGGGTGCTGCTAAGTATGACCCAGAGGTAAAACAGTAAAGCTCCAACTGGAAAGCAGCTGAGTATAAAATATTCTCACTGCAGCAACACAGTGGAACTGAATGGGAAAGGGTGTCAGAGACGTGATACACAGCACGGATCCTCCATCTATCCCTTGGCATCCAAGGACAACAGAGAAAATAGGGAAAGAAATACTAGGAGATTCTGGCCTAGAATTTTCGAAAACTAAAGAAACCCCACAGAATGTAAATGCAAAGAAAAGTCACACCTGTATTCATCCTAGAAAACCTAATGAAAACCTGTGACACGGGATACATTAAAAGCACAGGGCCAGGCTGAGGGCCATTCTTTTCAAAGCAGCAGCGAATAAGCCAGACAGTAAAATGACATCTTCAGTGTTAAAAGAACAAAAATCCTAATTCTTTCCCCAGAGGTTTGCTTTCAGTCTTCCTCTACTGTTATGTTTAAAAGTTGGACAAAGACCAAAAGCTAGCACAGCTTTGGTAATATTAAACAAAGTAGACTTCAAGACATGACCAAATGTTAGACATAGAAAAGTACCTTTAATGAAAAAGTTGCCACTCCTTATACTGGTTTCCTAGTGCTGAGGCAACAAATTGCCACAAAATTCATGGTTTCAGACATCATGGATGTAGTATCTGACAGTTCTGCAGTCCGAAATCCAAGTGGGTCTGGTCTGGCTACCACCACCCTGTCAGCAAAAATAAAGTACAAGTAAACCAACAAAACTGAAGGTTGGGGCTTTAAAAAGATTAACAAAATCCCTATCAAGATAATGAAAAATTAATTGTTATAGGATACTGTGGACAATTTTATGCCAACAAAGGTGAAATTTTTAATTAAATGGACAAATTCTTTGAAGATACAGCTTAGCAAAATTAAAAATGAGTCTGAATATTCTCACATGTTGAGGTGAGTGGTTTGGTTATTAAAATCTTTTCCACAAAGACAACACCAGGCCCACAGAGGGTCTTCTGGAAAGTTTGTCCATGCTTTTAAGAAAGAAACTGATAATTTTATACAGATTTTCCCAAATAATAACATACAGTAGGACAATTGCCAGTTGATTTAATGAGGCCAGAATATTATATGAAAATTACAAACCCATTCATGACAAAGATACAAAAATTTACAATAAAATATTAACATCAAATCCAGGAACGTTTCAAGAGATTGTATTACGACCAGGTAGAATTTCTTCTAGGGTTGAAAAAGCAGTAAAGATCATTGCATTAGAAAGTAACAATTACCTGGGAAAATCAGTAAGAATCATTCACCACATTTACAGAACAATGGAGAAGAATCCTACAATGAGATCCAAGAAAAGCACTTGATAAAATGCTAGCAAATACATATATATACATATACATATATATATATATATATACACACCACACTTGTGATAAAAATTCGCTAAGAATGAAAGAGAATGCCAATCTTTTCTACTAAGAATAGCCCTAGGAAACTGCCAGCAATGTCCCACATATTGGTAGCTCGTTGAAAGCTTGCCCCTGACACCAAGATTAAGACAAGAAGGCCTGCTGAGGTCACCTGCATTTAGAGTTGTCCTGGAGATCCTCCTACTCAGCGCATTACGGCCAAAAAAACAAAGCAAGTGCTCACCATAGAAGGAATTTCAGATTTTTGCAGAGCCATCCGCTGAGGCTTTGGCTGACTACTAATCTGATGATGTGTAGAGGGAAATTCTACGAAGCAGGCAAGAATAACATTCAAGGAAAGGACAGTTACTAGAAAACTCTAAAGACGTGTTAACAAAGAGTTAGGAATCACCTAAGATCTTCCCACCCAGAGTGGAAAGTCCTCACTGAGTAGTGGAGCAACCACTGGGGCTCCAGTAGTGGAAGCAAATTAGGCCTTGGTACAAGAATTTAAAAGAGCTTCAAAACAGCTAAAGGCACAAGTTGCTACCAGGAAAAGTACAGAGGCTTTGAAGGTGTATTTCAAAATATCCCCTTCAAAACATTTATGGTAATTTCTGTCAAATAAAAACATTGCAGCGTGTCATCCACCTAATTCACGGGATCTGCCACCACGCAACTTCTGGCTCTTTCCCAAAGTCAAAATGACTACAAAAGGTAAATGTTTTGGATCAGTTCAGGACATCAAGGCAGCTGTAACTGCACAACTAAAGACAGGAAAGAAGACTTCCAGAGCCGCTTCAGAAAATGGCAAGAATGGTGAGATGAGTGTGTTCAGAGTGAGGAGGAGTGCTGTACTGTTGAGACTGGTTCATGGTAATGTGTCCCTTCTGTAAGAAAAAGTTAAACAGTCACTGCATTTTTCAATTGCATCTGATACATAAAGACGCAGATGACTTGAACAGCACCATCGTCTTGTGAGTCTAGTGGATATTCCATAGAACATTCTGCCCAAAATATCAAAATACAAATTCACCATTCAGGACCAGCAAGTCGCAATATATTTCAAAGGTTTGAAATGATACATTATGGTATTCTGTGACTGTTATCGGAGTTTTGGAAGCAAGTTAGAAACAGTAGCCAAAGCTCTATGGAAAAATACCCCAAAGTTCAGCAATTTTAAAATATAATCTAAATAACATGTGGCTCAAGGAAAAAATTAGAAGAGAAATCAGGAAATACTCAGAAGTAAATGAGAATCAAAACAGGAATAAATTATGAAATTAAAGCACTCATAGGGAAATTGGTATTTTTAAATGCTTACAAAGAATTTAAGATAAGTCCTTTAAGCTTCTACGTTAAGAACTTAGAAAAATAAAAGTAAGCCCCAGGTAATAAGTTAGAAATGATTGAAATAGCAAGTGAAAAAATTAG